GAGTATAATGTGAAGAACAAAGAGAATGAGATTCTAAAGACAAGTTAGCAAGTTCAGGAACATAATCATAATAATACACAAGTTGTCTAGCTACTTCAGGGCACTTGCATTTCGCCATTTCTGTAACCTGCCTGTTCCGCAAGATCTTAGCCCAAGGCTTTCATACTTTTTAACTAAATCCGCAAATAAACATTTCTTTTCATGTACTTTCTTTTGCTGTTGCTGATCAGACACTATATAAATATTATTTAAGACACTATGTTAGTTACAAGATTAAATCTTCTTACTTAACAATTCAAAAGAAACTCTTAGATTTGATGTCTCATTTACTTTTTTTAAAACGGTTAAATGTGAAGGATCAAATGAGATTAATTAAATTTGGTGCTTTATATTAACTATTAGTATATCGTTTAATATTGAATGAATAGGGCAAAAGCCCACTGCGAATATGGGTACAAAAAAGCATTACACAGCCAATCAAATTCGTGATACGGTACAGGGATTATTCTAGAAGGCGATTTCCTAATTTGGTAAAATCCCTGACTGCAGTACCAAACAAAGACTTGAGTTTTTAATCATGTGAGGTTGTACAATAATCTAGGTATGATTTGTTAACGTAATGCAATGTATGTCATATATACGGTTTACTATAGATTCTTGCTATATCTCATGTGATATTAGTGGAGTCGAATTGGAGTCGACTTTAAGCAACTTGACTTTAACCGACTCGAAAACCGACTAAACCGAGCTGTTTAATATCCCTACATGCATATCCCCGATCACAATATTCGATCACGTACGATCACTAGTCACATGGGTACCACTACAAGTACATGGGCATTAAGAAACACCGCGACAATTATTTCTTGGATATTATTTCAAGATTTATTTATCAATCTTTACAAATTATTGAACATATCTTTTCGAATCCGTATATTATCGGTTTTAAAAAAAATTATATAGTAATATACAGAATTCATATAATTCATAAAAATTCTTTGCTGCACTTCTATATATTACCATTGTTTAACAGTTAATAAGTAATATGCAGAATTCGTAAGATTCACAAAATCATTTTGGTCACAATCTTTCGCATAGTGATAAATTATTTAATGTGTAATTTTCGAAACTTTCGAATTTATATTAAGCAATAAATTATAATCAAAAAATTTCTCAATTTACATTGAGAAAGATTTTTTACTTATGTATTACGTTTTGAAAGAGTTATATTGGTTATTTAAACAAACATTACACAAAAATTTATTATATATGGAATAATTCTGCAAAATATTATAGATTGTATCTCAAAGTAATTAAGTAGTTGAGTCTGACAATGTTTTTCTCTTGATTTAATTCGTACGTAATTTATTTATAACAAATTCAAATAACCTTTATTGAACTAAATGAACTAAATGAAATATACAGCAAATTTTGATATTCAGAAATATGATACATTTAAAATTGACTATACATCAAAACTTTGACGATAATACAAAAAGATCGAATAAAAAAGAATTATATTAAAAAATTAACATTTACAATTGCCTTTGGCACAGGTACAATTAGACCCACACTTGCAAGTACTATTTATGTTAATAATGAAGTTAATATGTAGGTATTCGTCCGATTCAAATTTTATCGAAAAAATTTTATCGAAAAAAAAAGAAAAATTAATTACCTAACACCACAAGAAGCGGTTACTTTTTGCGTGCTCGTGGTTTGTTGTTTAGTTGTGGTAGGATCAGTGTTTTTAGCACAGGTGCAATTCAAACCACATTGACAATTTTTACCGCATTTACAATTCTCGCACATTTTTGTAGTTCGTAAATGAGTAGATAACGTGTTAATATTCTTTTGATACTTGTTTGATTTGTGATTTTTTATTTTTTTTCTGTGGGAAATTTTTAGGTGGTGTATTGGTGGTGTATTTATATTAAAAATCCATATATCAAGATAGTTCTAGATAAATTTAAAAATCTATATATCAAGATATATAGTTCTAGATAGATTTAAGTAATTTACTAATACTCCGTACAAATCAGGCTAAAATGATGATTATTACGACATTGTTACTTTGGAATGGCAAAAATGACTCATGATTTTTGGAATGGCATAAATGGCTCTTTATTTATTATTATCAGAACAATGTGTAATGCTGTCCATAAAGATTAATTTGTCTAGGTTTATTTTTATTAATAACGCAATAATGATGATTTTTCACCGTATTTAGAAACATACAGAATTAAAGCATGAAAATCAGTCCACTGATCAGTTCATGGGAAAATTTTGTGTTTTGGCTGATGTAAATCAAACGTCTGGGTAACTTATTTAAAGTACTTTTTGAGAATGTAACATTTTATTAGCAAATTAACCAGTAATTTCAAGGACTTCACTTAGAAATGGAGATTTCATTATTTGCCTGTTTTATAAATTCATTTGGTTTTATTGGTCAGGTTCTACTTATTGTTATTACTTCACCGACAATCATTCCATCGACAGCGTCATCAAATAAGGTTAGGTTTGGAATTTGATTACAGTAATTGCAGGTAAATGTAACTCGGCGTGGCGTCGGCTAAATAAACTGTGTTACGGGGTTTATCAATGTTACCAGATTTAGTTATAAGGCGTAAGCATATGATACGCATTAAGTATTTGTATTCTAGAAATAAAAGTATTTTTAATGGTAGGAGAGCAGTTTTATTTGTTATTTACAAAGAACGGGTTATTACCAATTTCTTCCTTCTTATTATAGAAAGGATCTTATATATACTTTTTGTTGCAGGCCCGATTTTAACCATAACGACTCAATTACTAATAATGAGGTAATAGAAACGAAAGAAATTTCACTAACGCTAATTGCAAAAAATACGGTGATGGAAATTCATTAACGCAAGGATATAGTAATCATGGGAATTCTTTACAGTGACGCAAGAATATGGAAATTCATTAATACAAGGACATAGTAATCGTGGGAATTCATTAACGCAATGATATAGTAATTATGGGAATTCATTAACGTAAGGATATAGTAATTATGGGAATTGCTAACACAAGGATATGTAATCATGTGAATTCACTGCAATGATATTTGTACCATAACCAGCATACATCAGTGCAATTGATGTATATAAACCGAGACGGGATATGCTCCCAGAAATAGCATTACTGCAACCGGGTATCGCCGTCATCGGATGAATTCGCGATGCATGGCATTAGATAAGCTACCACGAAATGGCAGATTCTACGTGGATTCTATGTAGATTCACATGGGTGGGAGGGTTTGGGTGCGAATTTGCTTCTAACGGATATGGCGTATTCTTATATTTTCTCCGACAATGCAGATATTGTTAGTATTCTATTGCGATTATAAATTAGGCAACTAATTCAGATCTACTTATCTGACTCC